ATATTCAGCGCCATGAAGGCGCCACTCTAGGGGGCTCCACAGCCGACCCGCCGGTGTTGCTACGGTAAAAATCTTCCGACGATCGTGCACGCGGCGCGCACACACCTAATGGAATGGATATGAGCAAGCACTCGAAGAAGAATTTGCAGATACAAAACTACCCAAGATAGTCTGCCTGGGACTTAATTGTGAAGAGCTACAAAAGGATCTCTCAAAAATGGATGATCGGGCAACAAAATGGCAGATGAAATTCAATACTGATAAATGCAAAGTATTGCATATTGGAAAATATAATCCCAATTATACCTATAAAATTATGGGGTCTAAATTAGCTGTTACCACTCAAAGATCTTGGAGTCATTGTGGATAGTTCTCTGAAAACATCCACTCAATGTGCAACGGCAGTCAAAAAAGTGAACAAAATGTTGGGAATCATTCAGAAAGGGATAGATAATAAAACAGAAAATATCATATTGCCTCCATATAAATCCATGGTACACCCACATCTTGAATACGGCGTGCAAATGTGGTCACCCCATCTCAAAAAAAGATATATTGGAATTGGAAAAGGTTCAGAAAAGGGCAAAAGTGATTAGGGGTCTGGAACGGCTTCCATAGGAGGAGACTGGGACTTTTTAGCTTGAAAAAGAGACTACTAAGGGAGGATATGATTGAGGTCTATAAAATCATGACTGGTGTGGGGGGAAAAGTAAATAAGGAAGTGTTATTTACTCCTTCTCATAACACAAGAACTAGGGGCCACCAAATGAAATTAATAGGCAGCAGGTTTAAAACAAAAGGAAATATTTCTTCACACAATGCACAGTCAACCTGTAGAACTCCTTGCCAGAGGATGTTGTGAAGGCCAAGACTAAAGCAGGGTTCAAAAAGAACTAATTAAATTAATGGAGGATAGGTCCATCAGTGGCTATTAGCCAGGATGGTTAAGGATGGTGTCCCTACCCTCTGTTTGCCAGAAGCTGGGAATGGGCGACAGGGAATGGATCACTTGATGAATACCTGTCCTGTGCATTCCCTCTGGGGCACCTGGCATTAGGCACCAGGGCCGGCTCCAGGCACCAGCTTCTCAAGCAGGTGCTTGGGGCAGCGGCTCCAGAAAGGGGCGGCACGTCCAGGTATTCGGCGGCAATTTGGCGGATGGTCCCTCACTCCGCCTGGGAGCGAAGGACCTGCCGCCGCAGATGGAGATCGCGGCTTTTTTTTTTTTTTGGGCTGCTTGGGGCGGCCAAAACCCTGGAGCCGGCCCTGTTAGGTACTGTCAGAAGACAGGATACTGGGCTAGGTGGACCTTTGGTCTGACCCACTATGGCTGTTATGTACATTGCATACAGAGCAAAGGGTTAAAAGAATTAAGTCCTATATGCATATTTCCCTTACCTAAACCTTAATCTTTCTTTGCAAATTTTGGTGTATTCCACCTAGCCCAGTTATCTCCATCTCTGGATTGAGGGAAGCAAACTGTCTTGCTCACAGCAGGCTGTCTCTATCTCTCTCCTGGCACACCAGTTAGCTGTCACTGACACTCCCTGGACAGCCTCCTTTAGGTCAACATTTTTAAGACTGGAGTATCCCCTTTGACTCTAGGCTTAACCTTAGGAAGATAAACTGTTCTTTACCTGGTTCCATCCAGGATGAGGGAATTCCCTACTAAACAGCTTCTCTGTTTCCTCTAGGACTCTTAACTGTCACTGTTTTGCCTTCCCTGCCTGGTTCCTTTATCAGGCCTTTGACTTATCTCCATGCATTCAGGCAGGAAAATATCACAAGTAATCTGAGACATGTAAGATTCATAAAAAATTATACACAAAATCCTAGTGTGAAGAATGAGGTAGTTAATATAATACATAAATCAGATTCAGACATTCCATAAAAGAAAACCACATACGTGTTAAGACTGAACACTTACAGACAACCTTAGCTCCGCCACCTTTTGCATATGTCTTCCTTTTAGTCTTTGATTAGATGATCATATAACCTACTTTAAATATGACAATGCAATATTCAGGATTGTTTCCTCCAACCTTAGACAATATTGCAAGACTACATGGGTCTAGGCCAATCAGCCCATTAGAGTCATTTAATTAAAGTGTTATAAGAAAGGATAGTACAAAGTAGAATGATACAGAAAAATATGTAATGCACTGGTAAGAGCAACTGATTTTCTTGCAACATGGAGAAAAGGCAGGTATGCTCTTTAAAGGACCAGATTTCATGCATATGAAAGGAAGGGAAAGAAAAAAGTAATCACTGAAGTTGAATAGCTTTGCCCAATGCTGCACAAACTTTGGGTGCACAGAGGTTTATAGCAGCTGTCACTGCAGTTTCTTTGTAGATAGTGATTGAGGACTAAGTGTCACTTTAAATAGAAGTGCCTACTTCTCACCTCTCCTGATCACATTTGCTACATAAACAACAAGGAGTCTGGTGGCACCTTAAAGACTAACAGATTTATTTGGGCAGCATCCGAAGAAGTGAGGTTTTTACTCACGAAAGCTTATGCCCAAATAAATCTGTTAGTCTTTAAGGTGCCACCAGACTCCTTGTTGTTTTTGTAGATACAGACTAACACAGCTACCCCCTGATATTTGCTACATATTACTCCTGCCTTGAAATAAAGCATGTCTCTGGTGAGCTCTGAGTTGGGCTTGGCCTCTTCAGAGTTTGACTTGTCGGAGTGCAGCATAGAGTGCTGGCTACCAGTACCAGCAGCCTAGAAATGTAAAGCGTTTGTTCGGCTATTCTTGCCTCTGCAGAATAACTTTAGAAAGACATTTTAGAGAAAATTAAAATATTTTATTTTTTTCATCCACAAAGAATGTTTTGGTTCTTTACAATTGTAAAATAAAGTAATCACTCAGTCATACTATACAGCATATTTCACTCAATGGTGACAGCAAAACTTCCTTTTCCACAAAGCTACGAAGTATAGTAATGTGACATAGAACACTACATATTTTCCCAGCTTTAAATGACAGAAAAAGTGAAGGGAGAAATAAGTTCGGGGGAGGAGATTAGGGTGCAAGATACACCTAATCAAAGGGCAATGGGTTTGATTGTATGCCACAGTAAATATATATCCCCACACCCAAAAATACCCACCCAACAATTTAAGTCGACAACAGCCATGGCCATAGCTGCCCAAATGCCTCTGAATCTGCTTTGGGATAAGATTTCAGCAGCAACACCACCACACACCTGAAAAGCAAGAAAGGGAGAAAAGAAAGTTAGAGACAGATTCCCCTGCTGACCATAACCTCCAGACTGTTGCCAAAGAAAGCTTAAGGCCCTCACCATCCCTCAACAATTTACCCTTATGTGGGAGTAGATCTCCCAATTATCCCCTCCAACCCATGACCCATTAGACAAAGACAGATTGTCTTGATTTAACTTGTTATCTACAGCCATCAACGGGATGGCTGGGCTTATCCACAAAAGTCAAGGAGGCAGGTCTAGAAGAGATCAAAGAGAAAATGAAGCAGTATTGCAATATATGCTGCATGTTGGGAGAGGGGGATTCCTGCCTGGAATGGATGGAACAGTATTAAGTTTTTGGACCATATCACTCGTGCTGACAGAAGCGTATTGGGCAATGGTAAGACAGCAAGTGAGCATCTGTAATAATACAGTACAGATGAAAAGGCAGAAAGTTTTTAAACAATCACCAATTTTAGGAAAGTGAACAATTAAGTGGTGTTCATTTACCAAATACAGTAACAAGTCCACTGTAGTACATGGGAAAAAATAAAGTTACTTTACATGTTTCCAGTGTAATCTTAACACGTTACTAAGAGGATATTTAAGACATACTCTTCAACTGTCTATTGTGTGTGCAGAATACCTTTAAAATAAAATAGGCTGGTACATTAATAAGTATTTGTTTCTTAGTGCCTCTGCTCTAGTTCCTGCTAAGGGGTTCAGACATACGTGTCTGAATTTTTAGATGTTTTTGCAGATGAAGTTGTATATTGTGAGGCTATAAGTTAACATTTCCTCATTCTGAGAATGAGGATGTGGAGATTGTGCTACCTAATCTCTCCCCAACCACCCACCCCCAAAAGAGATTTATCTGTTACACTCTCAACAAGCTTGACATATACTTACTTCTCTCCCTCTCCATACTGCTATGAAGTGAGAGGTTTTAGCAAAGCATTCTTCAGTGACAAGAACTTTGGCTTCAAGCCCAGCTAAGATATGGGTCAGCTCAAGAAGGTGTGGGAGGGAATCTTCAGAGAGACTTCCTCAGCACTGTTCAAGGAAATGCTACTCCTCATAGCCTACATGCAAGGCTTTAAATGAATCCAGATCTCAATCCTCATTGACACCTCTTCACTTCAGTACAATAAGTTGTCAAAGGTGTAACAATTTACATGACTTTGTCTTGACTGTTCCTCAGCTGAAAATTTAGACAAGGAAAATTAATATTTAAAAGAATGCTCCATTGCTAGATTTAGTTTTTACTCATCACATATCAAGTGGCTAGTTCACATTAACAATTGCCTGTTATCTTTAGCTTTACACCGATTGTGACACTAAGGCTTGTCTACTTATAAAAGGTTTGCAGACATAGCTATACCAGCAAACCCTCCTAGTTTAGACACAGCTTATACTGGTGAGAAAAAAAAAAGTATTTTTCATGAAATAGCTTATATACAAGTTCTGTGTGAAAGAAGATGTACCAACAAAAAGACTTCTCACCAGCATTACTTCATCTACACTATATCTTTGGCTGGCACAGATAGGTAATTAAAAAAAATTACACCCCAATAGACTTAGTTATGCCAGCAAAACCTAAACATTAACTAGGTAGTCTAGTAATGAGATTTATCTTCATCATCATATAGATCTATTGATACTTGAATTTATATGAACAGTATAGGCTCTCCCCCCTTGGAGCAGTGTGCATTTTCTTCTATTACTAATACACCTCTACCCCAATATAACGCTGTCCTCGGGAGCCAAAAAATCTTACTGCGTTATAGGTGAAACCGTGTTATATCGAACTTGCTTTCATCCGCTGGAGCGTGCAGCCCTTTCCCCCCGGAGCGCTACTTTACCGCGTTATATCAGGTCGCGTTATATCGGGGTAGAGGTGTACTTATATTGGTCTAGCCTCCTTAATGCATGCAGGACTTTTCTAGGTCTCCTGTCCACATGCTGTTAAATGTGGATCCTGGTGGGCAAGTGCTAGACAGCACTTCTCATGTGACTAAGTTCCCATCAACACAAGTAAAGATTGCATGACCTGGCCCTATTTTTAAGAAGTTCCTGTTGCATAGTTCCAGGGCTGGCTCCAGGCACCAGCGCAGGTGCTTGGGGCGGCCAATGGAAAGGGGCAGCACATCCGGCTCTTCAGTGGCAATTCAGTGGCGGCTGCCACCGAATTATGAAGTGGCGGCGGCAGAGCTGCCGCCGATCGTCGGGGTTTTTGTTTTTTTTTTTTTTTTTTTTTTTTGCGCCGCTTGGGGCAGCAAAAATGCTGGAGCCAGCCCTGTATAGTTCCAATAAAATGCTGTGTGTCAAATGGATAAAACCCTCCATTTCTGATGGGCTCAAAGGCTTAGCTCACAACCACCTGCCCTGTAATTCCCACCACCCACTTTGGTGTTCCTAACAAGTTTCAGTGGTAAATACGACACTACTTTGTTGCGATAGGATTTCTTTTATGTTAGCAATTTCTTCCCTTCATGTTAAGATGCATAATGTAAACTGAATGTTGTGTTTGTCTGAGCTTAATACTTCCGTTTTGTACATGCTGTTGGGAGGTAAAAAAGGCAACAGTCAAAGCCAGCTCTTTACTGAAACTTTTTAAGAGAATGTCTTACCATGCTCAATGAAATCCAGAAGATTTCAATGCAGTTCCCTGAAAAAGAGAAAGCAGCCTTTAAAGCTAGTCTTTAGCTAAATAGAAGTCTAACTGTGAAGAAACTATTACCAGCATAGTTATAATTCTACATGTTTAGTTAAATAAATAAATACTTAACTGGTCAATTGTTGCCTGGAATCCTTTTGTGCTTGTATCTCTTGAGTTAGAGGTCATATTTTTAAAAGAGTGCACTGGAGATTTGAAATTGGAATCTGAGGACAACCTACAGCTTGACTCTAAGAAATCTGAATGCACCAACACATTCCAGTGGAGTGGTTGAGGTAAAGTTCAGTTATCAAGTGTGACAAAGCAGTCAACAGCAATCCAAAGTTACATGGAGAGCAAACTAAACAACAGAGTATTTGGCATATATATCTGACTCATTACAATACTCAATGAAAAAAGAAAAACCAGATGTTTGACTAAGCAGCTTTAAAGTTAGATAGCATTTCAATCTAGATGAAATGCAAAATGACTTCTATGGCAAGTGTCTGAATACTAGGATGACCAAATTTACACTTAGTTTCCAAAAGTCTGATATCATCAATATTTACGCATGGGCCTTTATGAATCACTCTGTATTATGTAACTAATAAGCCAAATGGGCACCAAAAATGCCAATTTCAAGTAACCGTTTAAGATAGCACACACTTCCATTCCTTTCATCCTCACCCTCTCTTATTCTACTTCTCATCTCTCCTATATGGATGTTCCAAACTTTATTCAGACTCTTAGTACTTAGATTATAAACTCTTCAGGGCAGGGACTGTGTTACATGACCATACACCTACCTCAATGGCGATATGATCTGGGCCTCACAGATGCTACTACATTACAAATAAGCCTTCTGTCTCACATTATAACCATTAATTGTAACTTTTTCTAAACACTAAAATCTGCCACTGTCCAGTCCTTCAAGCCACCCACTTGCCCTTTACACACAAACTACTGTCCCATCTCTAACCTTTTTTCAAAGTATCAACTCTCATATGAAGTTATCCTTGAACAGTTTCCTCTCAGTCATGGAAGCTACTCCTCTCCACACATATGACTTCTGCCTTTGAAGATAGCTCTGCCTTTAAAAAAGGCTCTTTCCATCTAATTTTCCTTTCCCTCAACCTTTGACATGAATCACCATTCCATCTTCCTACATTAGTTCTATTCTAACTATGGCGATCTAAGAGGGACAAGTCCTCTTCTGGCACAGTTCTTCTCCTGTTTCTAGATAAACTTATCTCTGCATAAAGATACTTTATAGACAGTCCATGTGACTGCTTCCTAGGAGGTCCCCTGCCTTTTTTTTTTAAATCTACAGTTACCTTCTCCCACTCATCTTATCACACCCACTCATCTTATCATGAATAACCGTATGGTTTGATGTAAAGGATGTACAAGTTTTTCACCAGCTGAACAAAATACCCAGTTTCAGAGACATGTTTACACAAACCCACTCACTGCCTTTGAAAAAAAAAATCAATTAAACAGTGCCAAACCACATATGGTTTCCAAGTATTCAAGAGCAACTCAAAGGCCTCCATTTAGATTTTTTCTGAAGTACAGCAAATGAAAGGAAATGTAGTTGGTGAATACAGGTATGTCAATTATATTCACAAATCTAGCCTAGCAAATAGTATAAAATGCCCCATGCCACAAAGCAAAGTTTTCATAATTGAGTGCCCTAACTTATGGTAAGAATGTACCTATGGATTTAGGCTCCTAAATAAAAAGAGTAGCACATTTATTCAGAGGTGCTTAGGACCAATAAGGTCTGTTGACTTCAAATGGAGCTACAGATGCTTAGCACTTTTGAAAAAGCAACTAAATCTTATTGTAGATAGTGGATGCCTACTGTAATTTCAGACACACAAGTTTGTCCTAGTATTTTAGTTAATGTAATGTCTGGCTACTTCACATCCACATCCCAATAGTCAGGAACCCTGAAGTATGGTTAGGTACTAAGCAAAGGGAGTACTGCATGTTTAGAATAGCAATCCAGCCTCAGCCACACACAGTTCAGAGAACTATGGTACAACATACAGCCTAGAAGCTGCCAAACAAAAAAGTCACACTATCCTAAGTGAGTTGATGGCTGTACATACCCAGCCCATTAATGGTAGAAAATAAACAGTTTAAAAAAATATTCACCACTCTTCATACCAGAAGGAAACGTGTCAGCCCAATAACTCCATCTCTGTGCATCTTGCAGAGACATTCTAAAAGTTAACCTACAAAACAGAACTGACCACACCTGTATATCTAACTAGGCAGATAACAGATCCAGGAGAGTAAAGTCTTTCAAATACATTTCAGATAGATTCAGCCATCCTCTGAAAAAGCAAAGGATACACAGCCTGAGCTCCAGATCACAGATTTTGAGATCTAGTCAGTTCTGGCACACGTACACTGTAGGTGGAAGGTGTAATTCCCAGCACAGGCAAACAGACCTGTGCTAGCTCAGCTTGAGCTAGTGTGCTAAGTACAGCAATGAGAATGTTCTGGCACCAGCAGCAGCTTGGGCTAATCACCCAAATCAAAGCAACCCTGTGGGACCAAGGTCAGGCAGCTAGCCTGTGTCACAACCACCAAACTGCTATTTTAGTCCACTAGCTTGAGGTGAGCTAGTATGAGTCTATCTACCCCATGGTAGGACTCACACCTCCCAGCTGTAGTGCAGACATACCTCTAGTTTAGTGTCATCCTGGACAACGGTGACCAGATAGCAAGTGTGAAAAAATTGGAACGGAGGTGGGGGTAATAGGTGCCTATGTAAGACAAAGCCCCAAATATGAGGATTGTCCCTATAGCAATCAGAACATCCAGTCACCCTATCCTGGGCTGCTACAAAAACTGCCATAAGGAAGTTAGCAAAAGTAAAATATGCACTGAAAAGCCAGAACTGAAAAGACCAAGAAAGTGAACGAACGTGTGAGCAACAGCATCTGACCCACAGGAAGGGGCGTAAAACATGTGCACCTAGGAAGAGAGAAACAGAGGCCTAAGGCTATGTCTACACTCTGGACCTTACAGTGGCACAGCTGTACCGCTGCAGCTGCGCCACTATATGGTCTCCCATGTAGCTGCTCTATGCCAGTGGGAGAGAGCTCTCCAACTGGCATAATTAAACCACTCCCAACCAGCAGTGGTAGCTAGGTCAGTAGGAGAGTGTCTCCCCGCAACATAGCGCTGGCCGCACTGGCACTTTTGTTGGGAAAACTTATGTTAGTCAGGGGTGTGTTTTTCTCACACCCCTAACCGAGAAGTTCTTCTGACAGAAGTGCTAGTGTAGACAAAGCCTAAATCCACTCATGTCCTCCACATGTCCTGCCCACCCGACAGCACAGAAGTAGTTGACACTTCCTTTTTACAAGGAGCCCAGCAGGTGACCAGTTCACCCAAAACATGGCCTATATTGGTACAAAATAGTAGCCAGGAGGCACACTAATTCAATATACATTACTACTAGGCCTCCATGGAACATCTACAGGAAAACAAGGCTTCCCATTTACAGGTATAAGAAGGGAAGGAGGGCAGCAGTGGAAACCCTTGCCAGCTTCCCCTGGGATTGCATCTCCATTGTACCAGTGAAGCAGTTTGTGCTAGTAAAAGGTGCAATTGAGCACAGGGAATGAATATAGCCCAATTCTCATTTTCCATTCAATAATCAATGGAGAGAAGGCCTGCACACGCACTCTTTACATTGATCGTAGTCACAGATTTCCCCAGAGACTGGTGGAAACAGACATCAGCCCTCCTACTCTTTCTCCTATCATTATGCTATCCTGAGAGGTCCAGCCACTCATCAGAGTAGGCTCAAATAGGCTGTTCAGCTATGCTGAAAGAATTTGTATTTACTCTTATCACATATAAAGAAAGAAAAGTAACATGCCAATACACACATTCCACTGTTAAAGGGTGATAGAGAAGTCTGCTTTTTAATCACACATTTATTCACTGGTCTACTTTAGTAGGCATATGCAACTGAACGCTGTATTTTACTGATACCACAAATGGCATAACGAATGTCCCAATCTGTGCGCTCTCAGAGGATTAGTATGATGTGTAGTGCAGTTATAGCTTACAAAACACTGCTATCATATGTAAGGTTATTGATTTAACTTCTAATTACTGATATGTAGTGTAGGTTTACTGATTTCACTTTTAGAGTACTGTTGTAATAATCCATCCTCCCTGTCCCCCTCTCCCCCCCAAAAAGCCTTGACACTATCATCTGGAGCTATATTTTGTAGCAGATAGAATTTCAGGGCTGGTATTCAGTATTCAAAATTGTAGGCTTGTTGCAGCCTTGATATCTGTTCAATGGCTCCTCACCCTCTGTTTTGAGCAAATAAGCTTGTTGCTTCTTCTAAACTTTTGAGCTCCATGTCAGCATCCCCACATCACCACACAACGTTACATCCCTACCCCTCTTCTAGACTTGAGCCTCCAAACCAAGTCCACTTTCTATAACCTGGGTGTTCTTGTACTCTTTCCTCCTCCAATGATTAATTGCTCATTGTTTCTTCTGCATGTACACCAATGCCCTCTTTCCATCTCTGGCAAAATACTCATCTCAGCCTTCAATCACCTATTCTTTTGACTACTGCAGGAACCTCCTCAGTGTCTTCCCAAAGTCTCAGCACATATGGAATGCTGCAGATATACAGCAAAGAATAGAGAGATAATCCTTCAACATCACCACTAAGTAATCATTTCAGAAGTACCTTAAAGAAAAAATAATACTCCCAATGGAATTTTATCTAACCTGCCTTTGAAGCCTTCTCTCTATAGTTCATCCAACCCAGCCATTTGCACCTGCTTTCTCTGGCATATCCATTTTCACCCCATCCAGGCAAGAACATTCTTCTCAGTTATTCCTATCACCTATATAAGCCTTCCTTTATCTCTGCGATATCAACTCTGAGGTTAATTACTCTTCTCCCCCCTCCTTACCTATATCTCTTAATTTCTCTGTTATCACATGCTTTAATTCCAAAATGAGGTCTTCATGTGGCACAAATTACTGAAACAGTAGTATAGAGTCTGAATTCATTAAACCTGTAGATTTTTTTGTAGATCGAAAACTATGTTGATACAGATGAAGCAAGGTGCTTTAACAAATACCAAGGAATCATATACTCAGAGTTTTCAGTCAGCCTTTTTAAACCCATTAGCAACTATCAACCAATTGCTAATTGTTTGGAGAAAACCAACATATGTCTACATTAAGACTTTCCATGAAGTCAAGTTGTCATACTGTTATATCCAACTCTGACACCAGAAAGAGGGAGAAATGTCTCAAAAGAAAGACAAGCTACCCAAATGAAAACCCTCTCTGGGAGTTAATAGTAGGGTCATTATCACATCAAGATAAAACTTAAGTCTAATCTTTTGTTTATTATATGTTGTCTTGTAGTATTTCCACTCCTTGACACCTAGATAATTCCACAATACCTGGTCACTCCCATGCTCTCAAAATACCAAAAACTCATTAGGTTTATCAGATTTGGAGGATTAGATATAAATAAAACATTATGATTTTTTAAAAAGCCATACACTATAAACTGGTTTACCAAAACTTCTCTCTCATATAAAAGGATAAATGTGCTCATCCAGTATCTTTTCATACCTCATCGTCTGAACTCTGGCTGACCTAAAAAACATATGCATTCCTTAATTACCACAAACTTTGTTAAGCCACTGAAAACAGACTGCTATGTCAAACACAGTTATCTTCTCCCTGCTTACCATACATCCTGTAAGAGCCATCTTCTATTTTTAAAGACAAAGGAGAGCTCTGTTTTCAAATATATTAAAACATATGTTTAATGGTTAAAAAAATACAATTTTGTTTAATGTTTTTTCAACAGTGCAAAATGTTGCATTTATCCCAGTTGGACAAGCACTAAAGGGAGCCATGTGACTGGATAACAACTCATAAGTGCTCCTGGTTTACAAGGGAATGAACCCCTTCCTGGGCCCAAAGTCAATAAGAATTTTGCCACCGACTCTGACTGGAAGCAGGAGCAGGCCCAATAACTAGACACGTTGGGCTATATAAGTCAGAAGGAAACTCAAGGAGATTTGTCAATGCAGGATATTATATGCGGGGCTGGTAGCATGGCTTAAGTTTGCCCAACACTTGCCACTATGTTTTCAGTTGCTTACATAACTTCACCAAATATTAACCATTCAAGCTGAAATTTACATGCTGGGTGTCTGCCTCAGGCAGAATTGTTTTGGAAAATTTCCATCGAAAACAGTTTACCATTCCCAAGAATGAGGCTAAGGAAAACACGCATTTTTTGGTCCATGTTAAATTCTGGAAACCTTTTCTTTTAAAAGCTGTAGCATCCCCATGCTTTAGAGCAGGGACTTGAAATTTGGTGGGTTGGGGGTCAGCTATGTGTCAGGGATGTGCCTTTTACGGTCTCTGCCCCCCCTCCCAAAAAGGCTAATGGGGGAGGGAGATCAGGTCACACATGCTAAGTAGAGGTTTTGATTTTAGCAGCTATCTTCCCTGTAGATTCCACCCACATTGGGCATGCTCCAACTTGAGGCTGAACAGGACTTTCACCGTAATTGCACTCCGGGCTGCTGTGGGCCGTGCCGGGTCCAGGCACTTGAACTGAGAGAATCAAGTGTATTGTCCCCGAAAATAGAAGGGATCTGGTAACTGGCACTTGAACTGAGAGCAGAGAGCTAGCCTTTCCTGTGCTCTTAATGATCCCACCAAAAACTAAGTTAAAAGAGCATTAGATCAGCAAATGGCAGAATGCCTGTGCAACTTTCATTCTGCCCCCTGTGTACATGCATTTAAGACCATATCATAAGTACATGACCACATACTATTTTCCCCCCAGGATCCTTCCCTCATTCAGCACACATGTTGAATGGTGCTCACTTAATGAACAGTCTTTTGTTCTATCATCATTATTCAATGTGGGGCCTTATTTACTTCAGACCATTCAAACCCTGCTGTAAAGATAATTATTGATTTCCTCATGGGCTTTTCTATGACACTAATCACTATAGTATCTGAGTGCACAAACGTTAATGAAATTATTTTTGCACATCCTTGGAAGTTGAAAGGGTAGTATTATCTCCATTTTACAGCTGGGGAACTGAGGCACAAAAAGATTAGGGTTAAAAGTGCCTAAGCTGAGGCACCTAGGACTTGATTTTTCTAACTATTCAGCATTATATAGCACTTTAGATGTTCAAAGCACAAGGGAGCTGAGTCAAGGTTAGACAGGCAACTTAACTGTGGCATTTCCAAGCTTTAGAGGGCTTGGCTTTGCAACCTTAATAGCATTCTTTTCAGGTAGTTTGTGTGTAACAGTTAACATACTGAGTTGACAGGCAGCAACCTCATTATTACTGAATTGGGCTCCCCTTCTTCTAGCCCTTTAATTGCTCTTCTCCTGGGTCTCTCAGGCCCCCTACTGCTTAGGAAGGATTATTTTCTGACCTAGGATGAGGGCTTAATATAATGGAGTAGACACTCACCACTAGCATACTTCCTTGTGTCTACATCAGGAATTGTAGTTCTTGCTGTGTCTTGTGTGCCCCCTTACTACTCATTGCTTACTCTACAAGAGGCTTTCTACTGTTAACTTAACCCCCCCACACCCAGGTTACCATTTTGCCTACTGTTCTGGGGTTACAAAGTTCAACAGGACAACTGTCCAAATGCTGTTTCCAGACCATGTTGAGCCCCTCCACAAGCTCCCCACCACTATACCAGTAATTTCCAAGAGCATACAGGTCTGCGCACTACACCAGGTTCCAGCTCAGGGACCCTACATCCAGCAATCACATCTGCGCAGTCCCTGTTATGGTTTCCCTGGGCTCCTACCTACCCAGCTTCTCTATCTTCTCAGAGCTACTGTTGGTTTACCATAGAAGCCTACTCTACTCCCCATGGCTACTTCACCCCCCCTCCTAGCTTCTTGCTAGAGTCCTTACTCCACGGCAGAATCCTGACACTTACTTTCCCCCAGGCTGCCTTATAGCACTTAACCACCTCTCTTCTCCCCTCTACAACCCACTTCGGCTTTCAGACTCTTGGCTTCATAGTGTTGGCCCAGCCCTTCCTCAGTTGGGCTTCATTCTCAATTAACTCTGGCTCTTCCTCTCTCAGGTGACACCAGGTAACATAATTGGCCTCTCAGGCCCTCATTAAGTATCAGGTCTGGCATGGAGGGCACATGCCATCACAAGACCAGGAGGTGCTTTTTGTTTTTAAGACAGCACCATTAAGTTTAAAAGTCCTCCCTCAATAATAGTCTTCCCATCAAAATTATTTAAAAGCTGAATTATATGTGCATATGTATCTGAATCCTTCCCTATGACCCCTCAGAGTCAGTGGGGTTGTTACTCAAACTAGCACAGGGGATGGAGGGTGGAAAGAGAAGCAAGAATCGCTGTTGCATACTGCTTGTTATGAGATAATTGTGCAGCTTTCATGCAAATCCCTGCATTCTGAATGGTTAATAAGAGAATGGGGATTTTTGCATGATTGAGAAATAACTATGGGCATGATTACTGTACAGCATCCTTGCACTCAGTCTAAAATGAATAATTGTATTTCATTATCCTCTGCAGTAAATCCACACCTGGGTTGCACACTAAGACACAAAGCTGAACCTGCATTTCTCCAGCACCCCAAAGAGTACCACTTCTTCCCACAAATGCATGTAGTAACCAGTTTTTATTTAAATATATAGCATCTTTCATCTGTAAATCTCCAAGTGCTTTACAAAGCCTGTAAGTATCATTCCCCCTACATTACAGATGGGGAAACTAAGGCACACAGAGTGGATGTGATTTGTCTAAGGTTACCCAACAGCACACTGGCAGAGCCAGGAATAGACCCTAGTTCTACCTGAAACCCCAGGCTAGGGCTCAGTCCTCTAAGACACACTGCCTCCCTAATCAATGAATTTCTTCGCAGAGTTAAAAAAGTGAGCAAGATTAACTAGTTTCAAGCTCTGCTGTTGCTGCTTCAGAACTGCCCAAGTTGGAAGTCTAGACTGCTCCCACATTTCATGAGTTTTCCATTTCATAGCACAAAATAATTTGACTTATTAGAAGAAAATATTCCACATCTACTGCAATGCTGTGAGTTACCAGATCCCTTCTATTTTCGGGGAGAATGCACTTGATTCAGATCCACATTACGACTGCTATGCAGTACCTCATGTTAATTAAATTCCTCACTAAGAAAAATAAATTGCTACACCTATGGTGTCTTAATTATTACCTGAAAGAAGAGATCTTCTTGATTCTCATTCTCCTCCTTTCCCCACTGAAATGTAGAGTTCTGTGGCCTGTGGTGCATGGGTCAGTGCTGCATTAAGCCTTTGGCCTGGCTGTACAGATATTGGAGTGCCTTTATATAGAACAAACATCGGCTCATGGTGGTGAGAATCACTTATGTGATGCCTCACACTGCAAACCACCACCACAATGTTAGCTCATTCCGCTCAGCCACATTAATATTTGAATACCAAATGCCAACAATTTAAGATTAATTCCAGTAAATCATTCACCCCTTTGCTCTTAGATGCGGCCAACTTGACCTCTTTACAGGATGTTCCAATTTCCAGGAAAAAAGATGTCGGCCAAATTGCCCTTTGTAAAGGGCAGTGGAAAGCCATTCGACCCCATGGGAAAATTTGAGAGGATTATACCTTTGGGAGACAATCACTCCCCCAACTCCTCAGTGTGCATGCAGTGTCCACGCTGACTCCCTAAGAATGGTGTAGAGCTCCTTTTTCTGCTCCCACATGCTGCTTTGCAGGACAGTGTGAACTGGAGGGGACTGGGCATGTCTCTGCCTCATCCCTACACCCCCTTTTGGGTGCTTTGCATCTTCCACCCAGTCAAATGAAAGGAGCAATCCGCACATTGCCCTAGTTGCATAGACTATAGTTGTCCCAGAGATTTCATGAGCAGGGATGGAGGAAGTTTCCTTCCACAAACACAGCCCAGGATTAATTTGGCCCTTTGTGTTTATTTCAGTTGTGCATGACTCATGTAATAAATAACAGTGCCAGAGCTATGAAAGATTGCACTATGTGCCACTGCTGGGAGAAAAGTCCTCAGAACAAATACAAAGCATTATGCAGTGAAATGCCCTTCTGACATTTGTACCTATGGCAGAGAGGGGACAGTTTTCCCATGAATTGAGATAAGTTTGTATGGAGTGTAACTTACTGAAGAGTCAGTGTAGGGATATTTGCCCACTCATTATGCAACACCCAAAGATGGGTCAGACCATGCGATTCTTATAACTATACTCATAATCCTTTTAGTTTTATTATTAGGATTTGGGAAATATTTATATCAATAAGAAATTTTGCATTTAAAATACTGTTGACTGGGTACCCTACATACCTAGATTTGAGATCTGTAGTGTCATGACAGCCATAGTTGGTCCAAAGACTTCCCCAATGGATTTAAAGTAAGCACCCAGTTATTTGTGTAATCCAGCAGGGGTTTTTTGCATACAATTTTTATTTTCCAGATTTTTTTTTGCACAAAATTATTTTGTTTCCAGATTTTGCACAACTAAAGATTGTTCAGACTCTCTAACACCTCAAATAAGCTATTTTTTTTAAAGATCCAATCTTTTAAAAAATTCATAGATTCATAGATTCTAGGACTGGAAGGGACCTCGAGAGGTCATCAAGTCCAGTCCCCTGCCCGCATGGCAGGACCAAATACTGTGTAGACCATCCCTGATAGA